CTAACAGTTTTCCAACATTCATAGTATATCATCGACAAATAATCTAAATACTTGTTTTTATAGCTTAAGTTAAGTAGTAAACGAAGCGTTGTCAATCACCATTTTATTGGTTAATGACATTTAGCATTTAACACCCATCTCCTTTGTTTCGTTCAACGGTTCTTCTGTTTTTAGGGCTTCGTGCACGTGCGGGTGTGGTTCCCTCAGTTCCCGGGCGTGGTGATGCAGTCAGACCAGGAGCTGATCATCATGTGCAAACCTCCGGAGCCCACCATCATCGAGAATAAGGCGGCAGGCTTCGCTGGCAGTTTGTAAGTAGTAAATAAAATAAAATCGCAGTAGAGTACCAGGAAGGCCAAATAAGAAAAGCGTTTGATAACCTATGTGTCTCACGCTGAATTGCGAGCCAATGTAAAGCTTGGATGGCACTGTATTAGCTTGTACTGAACTCAAATTGGGAAATCCATTATTCCATTGGCTACTAACGCGACCAAAAAAGAAAGTAAAAAGATTTCTGTTAGTCCAAATATACGTATATATGATCAGTTTAAATTTTAATTCTTAAGTGAACACCCTATAAACAGCCAATCTAAACATAGTTCCTTAGCCCTAATAATCCACGCCTTTCATTATTGTACAAAGCCACTATTCCACTTTCTAAGTATTCCTTTAATAGAAAGCTGTATAAATGTGTCGAGGCTGTAAATCCATGCCCTTGACACCGGAACTTGTCCTGCATACTATTAGCATACTCTTGCTGGAAGTTTATTAGGTACTATATTTTATTAGATAAACTCTAGTCTATTAACCTAGATAACCAGCTAGAGAAAGACATTGTTATTTTAATTCTTATTGCACCGAGTTTAAACTACCTATAAAAACTACTAGCTATTGCTCGCGATTTCTCCCGCGAGAAATTAAAAAAAAAGCCTATGTTAATCACTGATAACGTAGCTATCTAATGGTATAAGATTTTTTTAAATAGGCCTAGTAGTTTTTTACTTATTTCAATACCTACAAAATTACAAATCTTTTCTCTGTATAATAATATAGTAATCGTTTAGAATAGAATTTAATATGGATAAAGATACTATAAGTATAGGTTATGACGCTATGTATATTTTTATATAGCACTCATGTTAATTAAGGTGTTTTTGCCTCCAGTCCTCACGGAGCGCGCGTGTCGGGCGTGGTAGAGGAGACTCCTGGCCGGCTGGAGTACGAGGTGGCGCTGTACAAGGAGGCACCACCTGTCTCACGACACACCAACCAATCGGTAGACGTACCGCTAGATCAGGTAAATACATTGATGTATTTGCAAAAAAAAAAGTACAAACGCAAAAAACATTCGATGTTATCGAACGATCGAATATAACGGTTTTTTAAATATCATTATTTGAAATTTGCTCGTATTACTTTTAACCATTCTAACTAAGATATAGTAAGGATTGACTATACTTGTCTGGGAGGACTTAGTTCACTATCATAGCTTCACAACTATAGTCGTTCGATTCGAGATTTGAATCCCACCCCGGATTGGAAGTCGGTATCCTAACCATTAGACTATTATAGTTTTAATAGTGTTAATAGTATATAAGCAATAAATTATGCATTGTGCGTAGGCTGTTCCCATCGGCACGAAGTTGCAGCTGCGTGCACGCATCAACCCGGATTCCGCGTGGCAGCACATCAAGCTGCTGGAGGTGGCGGTCTCCCCCGACCCCGACCGCCCGCACGCCACCGGCGCCGTGCTTCTCGTCAAAGATGGGTAACTTACCGTTTTTATTTGTTTTATACCTACAGGAGTTTAGAAATGATTTCTAACTAAGCTCACTCTGTATTTCAATATTTTTTTAATGGTAAGATTAGTAGAGTACCTATTGAAACTTGACCATCTGACCATGAGTCAGGTTATTCAGGTGGGATTGTGGTGAATTCCTAATTTATTTATTACTTGCTTAAGCCGGCGACACCACCGCGTGGAATAAAAAAAACAAAAGCAAGTAGCCTATGTGTTCTTTTCAGACTATTCTCTACATAAAATTCTAACCAACATCCATGCATTCATCTATCTAATATTTCGCATGTATAATGTTGTAAGATATTAAGAAATGAGATTAAAAAATATTAGTTATTATTTTTTGCTTAGTTTACGCCGTGATATTATGATTACCACGATATAATTTTAAGTAAAGAACCTTGACTCTACTGCTTTATGTAAAAATAAGAGTTCTATTTTATTGCTTTGCAGGTGTCGCAACCGCGACTTCGCGTCAATAATCCCGCACCAGCCGGCGCGCTACCGCGAGCGACACAACGAGG